CTGTTATCGTTACCCTAACGAAAGTTGATGATTGTGTACAGGTTGAGAACAAGAAACGACATAACGCTATTGAAGAAAACCCATCCCTTAAAAAGTAGCCGAGAATTTAAAGACTGATCACAGTGACGGGTCATTTATTTTTCATAGGATGAAAGAAGGTGAAAGCTCAGAACCCAGAACTCGTTTTGAGCATGTCATTATGTTGATAAAATAGCTACTAAATCAGCTTTTGCCTCAGAGTATCTCCGAAGTCACCTTGTTAAAGATGTATAGACTAGGTAGCCAAACGGACTTGAAACAAAATCATACCAGGTTGTTTAACGTAGTATTTAAACCTCCTTATGAACGGCACATAATTTTAGAGAATGGACATGAATTAAAGGGTTCAGGATCTTTTGTTCATAAGAACTTGCCTCTCACACACCGTGTAAAATGCGGGTAGCCGAAAAGGAACTACAACTTCGGTTAGATGCTGGCTAAAAGGACCTAAAAATTGTAAGCTTTCGACTACATGCCACCCCCAGATGAAAGTGATCATGTAGTTCTAAACTTAGACTTTCATACAGTTATCAAAAACGAGCACACGTCAGCCCAACTCAGACCTAACGTCCGGAAAGCAAATATCCAAGACATTATACACTCAGCATTGTAAGTAGATTGGATAGTAAAGCCAGAGTCCCTAATATGGGAAAGCTTTGAATACTTGTGCTTCGACCCTTCGTAAGTCTAGAAGGTTGTACGAAAAAAAATTATTAAGAAATCTATAGAACGCTCTAAACGCTCGTATTCATATATAAACCAACAGGCTAAAGGAAGAGGAAAAATTCCAGCACTATGGGGAGACAGCAGTTCATCATTATTAGTAGAGGACGGTTATGGTAAAGCTCAGGTACTCTCAAACTCCTTTAGCAATGTATATACCGTGGAAATGTCCTTCGCGTCGGTCCACACAAATCCACCATACACACTCACTGGGCAACATGACCATTAAAAAACTCGATATCTTTGGCCTGCTAAATGAGGTCGATATAGACAAATCCACCGGACTTAGTGAACTGCATTCTATGTTGCTAAAGGAACTAGCTAACTTCGTTGAGAACCCCTTTGGTAATCTATCCGTAACTGAGGGTCGATTATCAGAAGTCTGGAAGAACGTCATAGTAAGTCATGTCTTCAAAACAGGTACGAAACTGTGGTGTTTAATTTAGCTAATGATTCATTTGTACTTGTTGAATGCTTGATTTCGAATTCCAAATACAGCACATTCGTTTGTGCTTATCTTGTACTTCTTGATCCGATTGCATTATTTCTGGGATCCTTAGTTCATACCATTATTTAAATACTCCTAATTATCACAGAAACATAAGCCTGAAAACTCCGGTCTGTTATTGTGACTAGCGTGGTTGTTAAAACTTCGGGGAAAATTATTCCAAGGAAGTTGTCAAATATCTCGTTGAAAACCCGATCCTTTCGGAAAAGCAGCATGGTTTTAGGACAGACTATTCCTGTGTCGCCAACTTATTAGTGGCTCGTGAAAGCTGAAGTACTCTTGAAGGCCAAAAGTTACATATGGACGTAGCCTACTTTAACTTCAGTAAAGCTTTCGACAAAACTTCTCACAACTGGCTCTTATATAAGTTAAGAGATATCGGAGTAGGTGGCATTCTATTAATGTGAATAAAAATCATCCTAGTTGGACGGCAACAAAGAGTACGGGTGAACTCCAGGTTGTCTATCTGGCAAACTGTGCTTGGTAGAGTGCCTCAGGGTGCAGTTTTGTGGCCGGTGTTATTCCTACTTTATGTAACTGATCGTCCTCGTCTGCTATTACCATAGGTCGTGCCACATGCTGACTATGTCAAGATATGGAGAGCGACGAGAAGTCAAGAAGATAGCTTAGAACTTCAAAATGACCTGAAGAAATTACCTGAGTGGTCTCAAACCTGGCAGTTACCAATGCATACTTTCGAGTGTATTGTGATGTATTTCAGTCGTCAAGGTATCTATACATACGTGATGAATAACATTGAGCTACCTATTGTCCAGGCACATAATAACTAAGGAGTCATCGCTAGCCAAGACCTAAGGTCTACTGCACACTGCCCTGCAATAGTTTCCAAGGGTTTTGAAACCTTATGGTCAATACGCGGGTTCTTTAGTCATGTCGACGCTAAAAGACTTTGGACTTCGTATGCAGTATTCGTGCGTCTTAAACTTCAGTGTTGCATTCAAGCAACTAGCTCCTGCTTAGAAGAAGAGTGAGCTTTTGAAAGAGGTTCAGAGTACAGCAACCAAGCTGATTCCCGGAGTAGCGGAGCTCCCGTATGATGCTCGACTGGCCAAGCTAAATCTATTCCCGTTGTCATAACGAAGAGCAAGGCACAGTGAATGACCTAATAAACAGGAGCATGTGACCCTACTGGTAGCAACTGCAAAACTTCACACCTGCATATTAAAATCGTCAAACACAGGCTCAGTTAAACACGTGATTATGGAAGCTTCAGTCCTAGTTATTACATCAGTGAGATTGCCGATCGTTCTAATACCAAATTCCGGATAATAGTTAGAGGCAATGAATAAACGCTAGGAAGGAAAATGGCAATAACATGTCTCTCAAAATGCTGAAAACGGGGACAAATGTCAAACAAATCTCTCTGATTTTATTCTGTTAGGACATGATGCAGCACCTGACAAAGAACGGTAAAACTAATACTGCGCAGTACTGGCAAAGGGTGTCACTCAAGTATGTTACGTTCGCCACATTGTGATATCAAGTTTGTATCGGCGAGCTGAACGTAGATTAACACTGTAATACCAGTATGAAACTGATTTTTCTCTTTATGTTTACACAACTACAATAATTGACGTTTCTAGTCATTCTCGTGCGTTACACTTCACAGGCGTAAAGTTTCAGCGTCTGATTGCTGTGGAATTCACAATAACAGAGGAATTTACTGAGGCCGACCAGGTCTGGTTCAAATAGGTAAAAAACCTCTCCAGCCACATCGCGTGTTGTGAAAGCTATCTCACATTGACAAGGCAACAGCAAAAAGGCCTGATAAATCACATCTTGGTGTCAGCTAACTTTGGTCAGCAAGCTATGGCGCAGAATACAGACCACGGTTCTGCTAAAGGGATATACTGTGCTGGCAAAAAGAATCGACAGCATATAGTCCCTCAAGAACTGCACGATCCACTTCAAAAGACACTATGCATATAACTCAGAAGACGGATGATGATGTAGAGGAGCACCAAGTTGTGGATCAAATAATCAAGTACCCCTGCAACAGTATAAGAGACCCAAATGGTGAACTAGGAATCATAAACACATATTTAAGGTTATATCTGAAGTTCACAAACCCCACAATACATATAGTAAACGATGACCCTTTTCCGACGGGATGGAATACACAAAACAGAAGGCGGGGTGATAATACACATTGTCAGTCGCTTCAAATCTGCAATGCCACGTATTAGCGAGTTAACCGAGGTGGTAGAATCATGCCGGTGTTACTTAGCTGCGAACGGAACAAAGTACTTGATTGGAGGAATGGACCGGCACACACAAGTGATAAGACCCAAAAAGATGAGACAATGCAAGCAATACTAAAGTTACCACACTTCTGATCTGACCAAATATCACTAGCTGGAGGCTTCAACAACCTGTCCCTTAATCTCAGCAAGCGGGATACATCCCCTACAGAATGGTGTGACAAACTGATTATCACAGTCATTGAAGGTCCAGCACTGACTGGAAGTGTAAGTGACTCCACGTGATGGGAGATGAACGGGAAACTTTCAAACTTACATTATCTACTGACAAATGATTAACTTCTAGTTGACGGTGTCCATGTTCACGCATCGATATTATGTAGTGACCACGTAACATTTATGTTATTCAAAGAGCGAAATGCGAGAGATCCAGCCTGTTACAGACTAGTCTCATTACTTAGAATACTGTCGAAGGTAATGGAAGAACTGATCAATGAGGAAATGAGGGAGTGCGTAGATAAAAACAACATCCATGAGGCCTAACACGGGTTTAGGAAGGTCATCATGTACGTGCAATCTCCTCACAGCATGAAATAGCTGGACGACCTACTGGGACCGTATCATAACGGTTCATGTAATATTCCTCGATCTCACTTAAACTTTCGACACTGTTCCTCATGTACTTCTCATAACGAAGGTTGAAAAGATGAGTTTTATTGACCCACCCTTAACGTAGCTCAAATATAACCTAGAGAACAGGACGTTTCGCATCAAGGTAAATAGAGCGCATGAAAATTAGGGGGTCATGACATGAAAATTTTCGCAGGGAACAATCTACGGTCTACCTCTGTTTTAGAGCTTTGTTAACGATTTACCATATGAAATTAGCTCAGTGGCACTGATCTATACGGGAAACGCATAGATATGGAGACCAATAAAACACGAAAAAGATTCACGTGAGCTTTGGAAGGACCTAACAACTAGATGGGAATGGGGAGTAGAAAGTGGGATAAACTTAGCCTTTCGAAATGTCATGTCACGAACATTCTGTGTCATTTGATAGAAAGCACTTACAGTCTCCGTGAAAGTCAGCCCATAATTGTCCCCTCAGAGTGTGATCCTCGGTTTGCACCCTCAGAAGGCATAGACACCAGTTCAAAGTACTCAGGGGATGCAGTCAAGGCAAATGCAACTTCACTTCATGCGTAGACAACTTTGGACAGTCACGTCCGAATTGTTCCTAATTTTCCTTTAAACATACGCACAGCTTCGACTTCAAGTACACAGTGTTATTGTACCCTTATAGAGACACCTTTGGAAAGGTTCGTGAAAATGATTCGAATATTTGAATAGAAATCAACTATTTATCTACGGCAGATTTAAATATTTGTTTATTTACCGATTCTGCTTTACAAGTCTTTCGTCTTCCAGACTTCATCTATCTTGATCTTATAGTTTTTAGTGTAATCAGTGATCAGGAAAGTGAGGCCTTCTGTTTTCAGCAATCTCACGATTCTGGATTAAGTGTACTCACTTAAACTTGGGTTGTATGAATCCCGCCCTCACTCCTCGCTTCATCAATACTGTTGTATCAATTGATAGTTTTAACTGGACGCTATCAAATGTATATAATTGTATCTCAATGTCACTACATCGGTGGGAAGATATTACTTTGTTTAGATTGATTTTAAATATATCGGGCACTGCTAAAGTCCTGCGGAAATCCAAATACTGTAACGATTTGGTTGCTATGGTAGCTCGTACTGAGAATACTTTAGGAAATATCATGTGGTGGGGTCTTACTCCTGCCATGAATCTTGCGAAGTGCTTTGACAGTTTTTGTTTCGGTGATCATTTCGATAGTAAATCATCAATTTTCACAGGGAATATATTCACAACCTAGATACTAACATACTTTGCGTAGGAATGGGCGATTCAAGACACATCTTGCGAACTTTATCTTCAAGGTTTTCTGGAAGAAATAAGTTTGAAACAGTATTTGCCTTGTTGATATATCAATTTGTTGCTTAGTTTTACCTGATCGAACCATTTCACGAAACATATGCTCGGCAGATGCTTCAGCTATATACAGCTCTTGAGCCTTACACAAGGATAGGGCTGCAGGGTAAAATATGAATTTGTGGTCTAATCTCAAAAGAGAAAGTAGAGATGTATCTTGAAATCTTTGGGAACGTGATGATTCGAGATGTCACATCTAAATATTTGATCAATGCTGCAAATAATCTGAGGAGGTTTACTTTTTTTCCGAGTGACTTAACTATTTTCAGGTTGGTGACAAACTTAGGCCCTCTTCCATCATTTGAATTTGTTGATTTGTCAAATCTGAAATACAAGGAACGTGATATGCTAGAATCAACACTTAAGTTTTGGAGTGGGAGAGATGAAACAAAGTTTGATGCTGACAAGTGTTGGTAGGTTCCTTTTTGTTATCAGTTTCGGAGAGACACATAACGATTAGTAGTCCTATCGCCTTGTCAGATTACAGAGTTTTTGGTCGTTCACCCTGTAACCAGTAAAGTCATAAGAAAAAAGAAATTAAAATACTTGATCACTGGTTTTCATTATTCATATTTGTAACAGAAGAATCTATGCTACTCTTTTCTGAATGCTATCGACACAACTTTTGATCAAAGTTTTCTTTTAAATCTCAGCTAACGTGCCAAAAGTGCCTTATAATTTTGATCACTTTGGCAGATATGAGGTTGTTCTGACACATCATTCTGTATATAAGATTGCTTAACTTTATATGGCAGTTTTATCTCCACTGGAGTCATTTTATAACATATCTTAGGTTTTGATGACTTCATATATATCATTTTGATACTTATTTTTTGCCCTCCAAATGTCTGGCATAAAACAGTTTTATAATTAATCGGTATATTAAACCCTGCTGCATCAATAAACCTAACCATGTAGTAGGCAGTTTAAAAGACAAAAGCAATGACTATTAGCTAAGCCTATCGTTATTCATAAGTAGCGTGCCGGTATGTTTATACTATGGGATATCTTACCCTCTTTGCGAAGCATAAGGTAGTATATCACCTTCGTCGATGTCGTTACATTGTTTTTAGTTTCACTAGTACTAACGTCAATCCCTTTGCTGTTTATCAACCAATTTGCGGTGATATGTTGTTTTTTATTGTCTTATTCATACTCAAGGTTATCCGAAAATAGCTTTTTTTAATAATGTGATCTTGTTATGTGTAAGGTAAAGAACACTAAGCGATATCCTTTTTTAACGAATTGGAAGTTAGGAAAAAATCATCCAGTCCAATAATTAAGTTTAACATATAGGAGATAAACACATGTCCAATCAAGTCTTCACCACAGTGACAAGTAAGTCTTGTCATTAGATGATGGGAATTAATGCTGTCAAAGTCTTTGGTGCTGTTTAGATACACAACGTCAATCTGCTCTTTATTATTCATTCGCTGACGTAATACAACACTTTGATTCGTCGTCATAGAGTAGTTTCTTAATTCAGTTTATTTAAATGTGATAAGGTATTTTAATTTGAGAGATGTTATAGTCCGTTGTTCAATGAAGTTATTTTTACCATCTGTCTCTGCTAAAAGATAAAAGATAGTGTTGAGATTTGCAGGAATTTACCGATCATATCTTTCATATGCTAACAAAAATTTAGCCTTAACTTTAGGTGTTGAAACATAGTCATCACTAATGGGTATGGATCTTAGGCATTTTAAAGCTAATGCTTGATACGCTTCACTACCGTTTGCAAACGTAAAGAAGAAGAATAAAAGTGTCTAGAACGTAAGAAGCAGCCATAAAAAGAGGTGAAGAATATTTATTATTTATCAACAAGAAGAGAATAGGCGTGAATTTAGAGGGCTGGTTTTACAATAAGTAAATACACACTAGACATGCAGTGCATGCAATTGACCATATTTATTTTCGGTTGACCTGGCTGTTATGCACAGTAGCTATAATGGTTATTTTTCGTCTATAAGCTGCATCAAAATTATCTAGTAGTGATAAACATTTCCCCCATCGGCTGTTTTTCTGATACGCTTATAAGTGATCATTTATGACCTTGATTCACAAATGCTGATATCAACTACTGGATTCGCAATCATTCTATTTCTTATTTTCGGTTCTTATTGGTAATTCTTTAGGAAAATAAAATTTACCCCAATTACTACTTACCAGTTGTTGCGCCGCTTATAAATTAGTTGTCCTAAGACCTTTTATATCTAAGATATTTGGGTCCTTTTTAAACAAGTTTTGATGTGTTTTTAATGACGACAGTGTGTTGGAAGCTATACAACTTTTAAAATACTCCCATGAAGTACTAAGTATAAAGTGATATAAGTTCTGCAACATATGGTTTCGTGGTACGCGTTTTGAAACATTTTTTTTCAGTCAAATATTGGGGACAATAACTAAATTCTTCTTAGTTCAATGTCATTCAGGCTCTTACTGGTAGTTTTTAAACATTCATTGGTTTTGTTTGCGTTTTAAAAAATAGATTCTTTCTTTTTGCTTGTTTGAAAATAGTGTTATTTAATTAATTATTAATGTGGCAGGTTGAAAGTAGTTTAAACTGTGATAAAAAGTGGTTAGCACCAGTTCCGTCTATGCAACTATTTATTTCGGTTATGTATCATTTATATAACTTTTGTTTTTAGTTGTCTTCTATAAGGGTACCGCTTATAATCATGTTCAGCAGTTCACTTGCGTCATTATAAGTTGAAAAATTGGTTGTCTGTAGCCTTTATCTATGATATTTGAAAAGTTATGATTTTAACAAAATACTGTGTATAGATCCAGACGGGCAAAAATACTGATGACTTTCATTTATAGAAGATGTTCTTATGGGTCCTTACTTTTGCAAAATATGTAGAACTAGCTTACTGACTATAAATGACATTCTTCGAAATATACGATGAGTTATAGGTCATCTGTTTTCAGTAGTAATGAGTTGAATTTGAATAAAACATATCATAGATCCAGATGCTCATTAGAGCTGTTTCTTAAACTATTTATGTAAATGTTTTCTCGGGAGAAAGTAGTAATCAATACACTTCACATTAATTTAGACTTTTTTAAGTTGACATTATGAACTTTTTCTGGCAATTGTTTGAGCGGATAACATTACAGAATATTTTAATTCAATTACAAGTGTTTGAGTATCACCCGTACTCCTTATGCTTTTTGTAGGACAGTTTATTATTATTAGCTATGAAAACATTATTCGTCGTAATTCATAGGACTATAATTTTGTCACTGTTCCCAAATATTTTATTGATTTCAACCCCAGCATCACATAGTTTTGTCATGAGTATGTTATTTAAAATATTCAGTGTCCGAGTTTTTATCGAGAAGAGTCAGATGCATAGGCACATTTAGAAAAAATACTCTAACAGTTGAATCATTTTTTTGGTTATACGTAAGCCTTAACTCGGTGACTGATTAACAGTGACAGCGAAATCTCATTAATTTCGACGCTAGGATCACTCATTTTATAACCTTTGTTTTTATGCTTGTTATTCATTTAACAGAGGCTACAATTAAATGTACGTAGTGGTTTCTTCAATTTAGTACAGTGTTACAGATTTGTGAGTTTTTGAAGGTATGAGACAGAGTGTTCGGCCGTCAGCAAAAGGTATCCATAATTTTTAATCGAGATCTGAATCCAATCCCCTTTGTTTAACAGTAGGGAATAATACCACTAAAAAATTCTAGCTTCCGTTGGTAGAAATAAGCTACTTAGTTGAAGTCTGTGCAAGGACAGCTATCAGTGATTACGGACGTTGTGTGACGTGACTGAAAATCGGTCGCAGCGGTGCATATGCATTCATTTCTTATCTTCCTTCACAATATTCTTTCCACTGTTCTTTCATTCATACCTGTTAGTTGTGTCTTTTCACAACACAACATTGATGTTCAGTCCTTCTAATTATGATTGATGTTTCATAGTTCTGATTACTGATCTATCCATCTTGTTAATTTTATTTAGTTATGTTTTCGTAGTATGGGAGCTCAAGTCAAACTTTCGCTCCTGTCAGATCCCATTTTTGATTATGATTAAAAACAACACGGTTAGTTGCTGATAAAGTTCTCCCATTGAGCTACTGCTATTATCATTTGTCCAAAGTGATGTTTACAATTTGCATATACCTTGTTGATTCTAAATTATCCGTTTATTATGGAATTGTGTACTCACTTATTATTGAGATTTATGCCTTTAGATTAAATGGTCTTCTAAATCTGATATTCAAACACAACTTCAAAATTTTTTTATAGGAATTATCGTTTACGTAAACATTTAGGTACTCGTTATGATGCTATACCAAATGTTTTCGACTGGGATTGTAGCATAACTCTACACGATCGAAAGGTAAGTACTTCTAGTCTGCTAACATAATAATAACATAATAAAATTGAAATGGTCGGCAAGGGGATGTGGAGATTTTTTAATTTCGTTGAAATCGCGAATTGATTTAAGTTACAGCGCTAGTGAAAACTTGGAAGCATTAAACACCCATCTCATTGTAGTATGGGACTTCTCAGCAGAGCTCATCCATAGGTAGTTCCGTACTAGAACATAACGTCTGTCCAGTGTTTCCAGTTCTTCATTTGTGGTCTACACATTGGTCGGTTCATGGTTTCAATAAAAATTGAAATAACTATTAGAATTTACTCATCAATCACTTACTAGCACAAAAATGTTTCTGTCAGAAATAAGAATGAGAGACTACATTTCTGTTGCAAAATATTTAGCAAATACTTTTTTTCTCTCAACTATTTAGTGTATACCCAGTAAAAAGTATTCTAAATGTTTAGTCCAAAATATTTGACAACATTTTTTGTGGTGGCTTATACGATAAAGTTTTTCTCGATTTCAAATTTTATGCAAAGGAAACTTTCTTTTACTAGCTTCTAAAGGCATTAGAAGATGTACATCTACGACCAAAGCATTCCAGATTGTTTTGTTGTAATAAAGTGTTGAGACCAAGTAACAGTTTGATTTATTCTTCCCTATGAAATTCTAAGATAATTATTCATCATTTTTGGAGAGCGACTATGAGTTTAATGTTTGCTCTTCGCTCAACTGTATAAAGACTTAAAAGTATAAGCTATTAAGAAGCCGTACAGTTAAAATGAACAGCTATCTATTGTTTTCTGTCATGTTTGCTATATTTATTCCGATTAGCTTATGTATGAAAGTTAGTTATCTGGTTTATTTCATTTCCACAATACAAGTTACTAAGTAGTATGATCTACATGAGAAGTAAAGTTTCCTAGTAATATCAGGTGTGAGATTGTAAAATTATAAATTACATTTAAATAATTTCATGGTTTGTAGATAGTCCTCTGGTTGATATTGGTCCATTACAAAGATAATCTGCATAGACTACTTAGTTAATTATCTGGGTAATTCTGGGAATTCACATTTTTAACACGGTATTTCATTGATGTTTTCGATGTAACAGTATGGCATCCATTTGACCTCGAAAGTTAAATGATAGAAAACTATGGTTAACTATTATCATCATCTAGTTAACAGTATTCTTCTAAGGACAGATTACGAATATACTTTCCTTATCATATAATCTCCATATTTCATGTGAATACTTGACGAGTAAAACGCTGTTTATTAGAATGTTTACAATGAAGTACTACATTTGCACTAATGTTATCGATTTTCTTACTGCTGACATTTGAAAGGAAAAATGGTGTCTCATAATTCTTATTGTAATCATATCCACTTTACGAAATAGAGACTCATGAAAAATTCTTTTTGTGTTATTTTTGTCAAGGCTACTCAAATAAACTCTAAAGAATATGCTCATTGGCGTCAGTATGGGATGGCATTCGAACTTCGGGAAGCCAATTACAATGTTCCAAATAGAAGTTTAGCTTCTGGAAGAGTTTTCAGGAATTCAGCTGGTGATAAAGGAGTTTACTGGGGGTATTGGGGTGACATAATCTGCTCACCATATTTGGTGTTTGGCATAGATACATCTGAATGTAGTGAATTAAATCGTCTTGTTAATGGGAAGCATGCATATGCGGCATCAACAATATCTGAAGTGAATATCCGTAAAATGTTCTGGGAATTAGAAAATCAAAAAGACTGCCCATTACATATATCCGCTCCATTTTTGGATCCATCAACAACAAATGATAATATCAGTTTCCCTGACGAAGAAGTTAGTTCACAAAATGATCCCACAGTAGAGAATGACACAGACGATAGTAAACAGAATATGAATGTTGAAAATAGTAATTCTGATGACTGCATACTTATGAAGTGTAAGTAAATGTAAAATCTTTTTAGAATTTAACAGGATAAAAATGTTTATTGATTCTTTTACATTATATCAGTTCTCTGGAACTTCACTTTTGGTGGTAACTTTACCAATCACCGTTATCAGCTGGCGAAAGATGGGACATTAGAAAGAAGTTATTTTGTTCAGTAAATGGATCGGAATCAGGATCTAAGTCGCAATTCTATGATTTATATTTTCCAGTGTTAGTCAATTAGAAAGTTTGGTTGATCTTCCATCCAGTGTAACCAGTAAATAACTAATTCATTCTCAATTTCCCAGCAAATAATGCTAGGTGCTGAGATAGGCTATTAAAAGTGTTTTCAAAATACTTAGTTGATATTTTGGACGATTTCATTTATAGGAAACCAAGTACTTTCGTGTGTATATATACTATGTAATCTTTTCATTAATTAGATATTTGAGGTGGCAGTGCTCTATTATTTGGGAGACAGCTATAACTGATTCTTTCATCATGAAAATGAACTCAGAACACAAATTGGCGCATGCAAAAGGCGATTATGATGTGTGATCTATTCTTGGAACTTTTAGTTTTTCGTCATTATTCTTGTTAGCTGGTAGACTGAGTCTACTTCAACAGGTTATTGCTGACTGAATAAGATCGTAGACTTTGATTCTGAAAATTACTTGATATTCTTCGTGTTATCCTCATACAGCTCGTGGAATCAAGTATATTTTTTTACGGGGACTACAAAAGACCATTTGTGATAGTCTACTGTATTTTTATTGTTATTTTGATCACGGGAATTATAAGAAGGAATGAAAAAAACTAACGACGCACAAATGAATACATAATCCAATTCGACTGAACAGTTCATTGAATAAGAGACAGAAAGATAGTTAAAACATTTTATCCTATAGAAATAGTATATATCATCACTTTTGAGTTTCTTCAGTTACATTTATGCTGTGTTTTTATAGCAGAAAAACTAAAAGAAGAAGAAGAAGAAAATACATCAACTCAAGCTAAGTCGAATGAAGAGCCAGAACAATTTGACAATACAGAATACGGTAATAATATTATTGAAATATTATCTATTATCGTTAAATGTGACTGTTTTGTTAATTAAAAATTATTTTTATTTATTTAGGAATTAAATAGAGTAACTAACATCAGTCAGTCAGCAACAACGTAGAACTTTGTACGTATGTACGTACATCAGTTTAAGTTGTCATACCACATTAGCACAGAGATACAATTGTCAATTCAAATTCCATAGTGGTGGAGGTAGTGTAAGTATAAGCAGTAATCGGAAACATTAGGGTTTGAAGATGCTATTCAAAGAGTACAACCCAGTAAAAATACAAATCTATTTTTAAATATTTTAATTGATCTAATATTAAATGACCCGAAGTAGAAGCACATCTATATTGACGGTTCATTGTTTCTTATATCCTTAGCAATTAAAATGTTTTAAAATCAGTTGATAGGATGCTTAAATATTGATTATGTCTATTCTGTTATTCACTATGAAAATGTATTTGGAACTTCATATTCTATTAGTAATTCAAATCAGTCTCAATCATTGCTTACCTTGTTTTAAGCTAACTATTCAGTTATAGGAACTAATCCGTCAATATTTCTAACCTTAAATTTAATCAACAGAGAATGAATTTGTAAGCATAAAATATTGATTTTATTCTTGGTAATTCGTTTTATACATTCTAAATCCGGGAATATAAATAATGATGGTCAATCATTGACTTATCAATGTGCTGTACTGCCAAATTGATGGAGTAGCCATGGGTAGACCTTTGGGCCCAATTCTGGCGGACGTATTTATGGGAAACCTGGAACAGAAGCTTAAGCATGCAAATGATGGTACTACACTTCTGTAGATGACACATTTCTCGTCTGCAATAATCACAAGCACTCCATGAACCTACTCAATCTGTTTAATAAAACACACGAGGATATGGAATTTACTATGGAACATGAAGTTCAAGGTAAATTCCACTTCCTAGATATTGGAATCAGACGAACATCAGATGGCACATTACAGACACATTCATCGCAAAAATACATGGAGTGGAGTATACCTCAATTACTACAGTTTCTGTCCAGTGAGTTACTAAAAGGGTATTGTACGAACCCTATTTGACCGCCCACGTAAAATTTGCTCAAAGGAATACCTGGAAGAAGAAATTGCTCTCATCACTAATTGCCCACGTGAAAATGCATATCCGGCGAAATTCATCCATAAATATGCCAAACCCAACCCTCGGGTTGGGTTCCGCGTTGAAAGTGACCTACCCAGCAGCGAAACTGACAACGGTATGGGAAACGAACTGCTCACTTAAACAAACTAAAATCGACAAGTCCTCTTTTCTCAATAGCTTCAACTGTATTCACCAGTTTACATGTACGTGCCAAAGCACATACATTAGAAAAACCGAGAGAAGATTACATGTTCACATTTCTGAACATGTTCCGAAGAAATTGAGGCTGCAAGGGACTAAGGCTCTCAACAGTGCAATAGCTCGGCATTTACTCGACAACGGGCATACCAATGACATCCATTATACTTTTAAAATTATTAGCAGACAAAGAAATACAGCTTCTCTCCGTTTTGTTGAAGCGATTGCGATAAAAAAACTCAAACCGGATCTATGTATTTAAAAAGAGATAGTAATAAAATTATTACTACCCTGGTAATCCAATTTTTTTGTTTTCGGTTATTTGTTTTATTTTGTCAACGTTTAGTTTGTGTTATATTCCTCTTCCATTAGCGAATTCTTAAACCGACCTTTCACTCACACATTTCCGCTCACTTGATTCTCTTAATTATGTGAACTCTTCAAATTCTATTCAATTATTACGTAACTCATTTTATCAGTTTTTAATTTCATGAATCCTTCATTACCTCTAAAATTATCACACAGTTAATCTTATCTGTATCTGAGCTCCACTCAACCATTACACCACCCATCCTTAATGTTTCCTTGATTCTAACACCAAATAATCTCTGACCTGTTCTTGGACATTTATGTATTTATATAATTATCTTTGATAACCTTTGTCATTCCAATGCTTTCCATTCACTTATGTCAATTGTTTCATGCTGTTTCTTATCTCAATGTAAAATTCCAATACATATTTGGTTGTAAGCAGCTGACGAGAAAACACGAAATATAATGAATTCATATTATTCTGCATCAATATTTGTTCTGGCTTTATGAATGTTGATCATCGCAGAAAGTTATTTTATTTAACTTACCTTAGTCGTAAGTATAGTTGCTTTCGAGATGGACTTATGAACTGTTACTCATTAGTTTTAAAAACAAAAACTGAAGAAGGAGAGATAATTATTCACAAGTTGACTAATTTTAAAAGTCAGTTGATGACTGGATTATTTTTTCTGTTCTGTCTTTTTTATTTCAGTTCCATTGGATATTGCAAACACATTCAAAGTTAAATTTCTTCCATGTAACAGCTTTTTAGACTTATCTATAAGATACCGATCTTTATTTCTCAAAAGTAACGACAATAATTCATCATCATTAAACAATCGTTTCCGAATAATTTACATCGGTAACAGTTTAGTTCACTTATTATCTGATCTGCATAAAAGAGAAAGTAAAAAAGACAATGGATTACATTCCAAATTGAATAGTAATCTAGATGCAGAAGAATGTAATGATAAATTAGAGGACAAGAAAGTTATATCCAATGAAAGCACTTTAGAAAATGATTTATTTAATACTGATACATTCAATGTTTCATTCACTGATCTTTTGGAAGATGAAGCATTGCTAATTGTAGAATCTATTCTGTGAGTTTGACAGTCTTATTCATAAATAACATTGTTTTATTTTATTCGCATGATAGTACACTGTTTAAATTATGGTTTCTTTCAGTAATATTCTTCTTTGATTACATCTATCTCTCTACATATTTAATGTGTGTATGTGGATAGTGGAATCAATATACGGTCATTTGAAGTTATTCATCTTTCTCTCTTTAAAGCTGTATTTATTCATTTGTTTATTTTTGAGGAGGTTCTTATTTGTGATTCTAGTAATGAACATCATATTAACAAGTTTTGTTTTATATTCCCCGTAAAACTGAAACCAAACTCTACACGCTTCAAATGGTGAGGAGAACAAAGTCAACTCAAGTTGAGTTAGATCATGAGATGTTTGAAATGACAAAACCCCTATACAATTAGATTGGCAGGTCACTGTCTGTTAGTACGAGCTGTGTATATCAGATTAGAACCTTCAGGCAGACTACAGGCTGTAATAGAACTCAGTTGTTGGGAGCCATAGCTTTTAACCCTGTAAACCATGAATATTCAGTTTGATACCATTTATTAATATCTAAGTATCATCGTTAATTATGAAAATTTAACATGATATATTCTTGTGAAAGATTCTAAGCCGATATTCAAGTAAACTGCCGTTTATTTACTACAACAACATTTTACTATACTAAATTTTAACCTAAACTTTCTTTATTAACTTGATTTCTTAATATTCTTCTACACATTTGAAGGTTTATAGTGGAGGTTAGGTCCGAACAAATCAAAGCGTATTGTGAAAATGTTAAACAAATGGCTTGTGATCTTGGTTTCGAGGTGAGTTCAATTATGTAAGGCATGTATTTTATTCTAACTGACTTACTTATGAAACCTTACTTTTTTGTTACAATTTTATTTAAGGACAAGTTGATGATGAAAAATGTGTGTGTATTCTTAAGAAAAGAGTTAGTTGTTCAGGATATTTCACTATCTGAGAAAATGAAAACCTGTTTATTAGCTAGTTCTTCAGTTGATATGTTGACTACGACGTTAAGATATTTTTAAATATTCATTCATCGATAATTCATTTATAGCAAAACCAAAATTAAAATTTATTTTTAGTAAACGGTTGTGGAGATTATTGAGTTTTTATTCAGGTTAATAACTGATCAATGTGTAGACCACGATTAAAAGCCTGGAAGTACTGAATATCCTTTTTCCCCTCGTATGGGACTCGTGGGCAATGTGTATCCACGATCCCGTACGTAAGACTCGGCCTAGGACGTTGGGTCACGCGTGCGAACGCTTAACCTCCAGACCACTGAGTCGGCATGCAGCGGTGCTAATGTCTAATCTCAACCAATCCAGCGACCATTTTCTATTGTCTTCATTGGGTAACTGCCTTACAGGTAACACGGAAGTTAGACATTATCATAGTTGGATGCCGACTCAGTGGTCTAAAGGTTAAGCGTTTGTGCATGAGACACAAGGTCCCGGGTTCGAGCCCCACATACGGGATTGTGTATGCACGCTGTTCACGAGTCTCATAGTAGGACGGAATGGCCGTCCAGTGCTTCCAGGTTTTTAAGCGTGGTATAACATTGATAGGTTCATGATCTCGATTAAAACTTTTTCTATTTTTTCATTAACCTAAAATAGATGGATATTTGTGTTTCTCTGGAAAATACAAAGGGATTTCGCCAGAAAGTCGTGACTTTGTAGAGTTGTATAGATTGCTCAATAAATCTATCACAACCAGAGTATCACCACCATACCTAGTAAAAATTGATACATCTTATAACTTGATGTTCACCTATCTGTTGATAGTACTACACCCTTCTTTTTCTAAAGAACACATTATGTTTATCAAATAATAATAAAACTAAGGAAACTTACTGTTGGTTTATGTGCGAAACATATCTATCTTGAAGAAGTAGGGCGAACATTGGCCATTGGGTATTTGTAATAGGTAATGGCTTTGCTCCATAGAAGAACTGCGTTCTTCAAGTACATTTCAAAGGTGGAGCTAACAAATGATAAGCTTAAGAATGGAGTAAATGCTGGTGAAATTCAACAGACTGTTGATGATAGGTAAGAAAACAACAAACGGTTGTAACTGAGTTTACGTGAACGTGACTGATAAAATGAGGTATTGCGGAAATTCTTAGCTCCTTGCAAACTGGTTTATTTTATCTTCTGGATTTTTGAAATTGCTAAGCTAATAATAGCAGGCACATAAGTGAGAATGGGAATGGAGAAGTTTAATTTTATATAGCGTGAGAAAGGTGATACGGGAATGATTTTACAGTTGTTTTGCCTACTTACAGGAAGTATGATATCCTATATTCTGGACAGTGCTGGACAGACCATGTGTTGTTGCATGATCACGTGGTGAGTGAGGAATGTAAATATAGGCAGTCCATTGTAAAAGCATTATTCATATCGCCATGGTTATGGCCCGCGTATTTCTGTCTGGGTCATTTTTTACAAATGAATATGAAAGAGTTGTACGTATTAGTATCCACTTTTGGGCGGTACAAATTTCCATGCATTCTTGGTTTTCTTATTTACATGGTGTACTCTTCGAGGGTTTAAAAAGTGTTTGACGATATCTGAAACACTGTACAGAACAACTACGTTATAGAAGCAGAGATCATTCATCTAACTCGCCGTATAAAAGATGATGTAAACATCAAATCTATTTTGGTGAGATAGAAGTTCACTTCATCGCATCTAAGGATAATGAATAAGTTATCTCATTTGTAGCTTTGGGAACTAATGAAGCTTGCGTAGGAGGTGTTTTGTTTCGATGAAAAATATCAGAGTTGGTATGACCAGAGAACAGGCAAAGTGCAGATCCACAGGGATTCGGAGCCTACTTAAGTAATTGGGTGACTAGTTAAACACATTATTGATTAGTGATTTATAACCGTGTTTATTACTGTAGTACACAATAAGCAGTTTTTGCTGATGATCAATAGAAATCCAAACTATTTAAAAAGACATTAGTGTATCTGTGACTCTTGTTTCTATCATGTTTGGACTAAAACCTGAGACTTTTTTATTTTCAATTCTGTAATTAGAATATAATTAGAATTTTTTTATATACATCAATGAATTTTCAATCCATACGATGTGTTACCATGACTAGTGTAGGGTATGGTTGGAAGAAGGTTCGAGGCGGCAAAACCAAAACGTGGCATCAATGCTTGAAGTCACTAACTTCTAGTCTGATCCATGTTGGTAGATGCAGACTACTTGGTTAGGGGTCCGCGTGACTATCGTAACCAATGCTTGGAGACTCTGAGTGACATGGCTCAGAATCGATCACAACCACGTAGGCGTATACACTCTTTGTCTTTCCTTAAACCGTGAAATTAAAATTGCTTTATACCATTCCTTCTACGAACTAATTCTTTCTTCCTGTACTATTTCCTTATATGCAATTTTTCTTTTATATATTACCACCACTGAATTAAGTATTTTTATGAATTCGGCGCTCATCTTGTTGTACCAATGCGGTATAGCAGCTTGGACTGATGTACATATGTGCCTGGTCCTATGTTGTAGCTGACTGACTGACTGACATTTAAAAAGTAATTTAATTGAATTAATGAACAGATATAATGACAAAATATGTTTTCTTCTTCTATCATTTTTTCCTTTTTATTCTAGTCTATTAAAGAAATAAAACCAATGGAGGATCATCATTTATATTTTCGATTTAGACGGAAATTACAATAACAATGTTAAATATAATGTATTCAGTAATATCATATGTATGATTATACTGAAACGTACTCTCTATTTCACAGAAGTTCACAACTTTGAAGATCAAATAAATGTATTTATATTTGTGTATTTGTTGTCAATTCTATTGTAATTATGAAAGCAAAAGCTATTCAAATTGATACTTTCTTGATTATATAAGCTAAAATAACAATAATTTACATTTACTATGATAACCTGAGCATATAATTTGAAAAACGGAATAGATTGTATATTCATGGTTCTCCTTTTAGTGAAATGACATCTTTGAAAGTTTACTAGTTGTAATTGTGATGATTGATTGAAGTTAGAAAAAAAAGTCATTGGAATTCAACTTATTGGTTCGAAGTTTAAGCATTCTCAACGAGACTTGAAGAAATTTGGTTAGATCCCTTTTGAGTTCGTGAATGAAAGCTGTTAAGAAGTCTCAAGATAGGAAAAATTGATGTTTAGTGGTCTACGGTTTTCAATATTTATCTAGCTAACTTCAATACATGAAGTAAACTAATTACATTAGGGTTGAGATAGTTTTCATGTATTCTACTTTATGAGATTGCAACAGCTTATAAACATCATTTAGTTCAAAGATCATTGTTAATTATTTAATAAGGAAAATCAAAATTCTGTTGTTGTCTTAAGTGACCGATAAAGTCCAGTATGTTTAATATAATCATCATTGTTCCTCAATCGGTGGAGTTTTCGTCTTAGTAATAAATTCCGTGATCGGAGTATAACTTTCGGATTTTATTTAACTCGGATCTATCGATCAATTGAAAAGAGGCTTTTTTGTTTAAGAAACTTCTTGTGTGATGGATGGTCAGATTTATAGCTTATGGAAAAGCTGAAAGGAATGAGGTAGGAAGCCACATAATTCAATTATGGCTTACGATTATTAACAATAGAAAGTCTCTAGTTTTTTAGTCTTTTAGTTTATCTAGTCAAGTCTAGATGTCTAAGATACTATTGAGTATGTGATGTATATATGTTATTGTCTACTTATTATATTACTATTGCTTAACAAAACTCAATTGTTTTGACTGAATTTGTCAGGTCTCTAAAATCAATCAAAGAATGCACTAATGATATATTTTATTTTGTATATTTTGGTTTGAACTAACTACTGATCAATATTTTTGGTATTGTTGTATCCCGATAAGAATAAATGAACGGTAATTTTCGGGATCCATTTATGGACCAATATTATGAGTACATTTTTATCGTATAATTGTTATGTAACTAAACTGTTCATATTCATCCCCCTCTTATTATGAGCTTTATTTTGACCTATGAACTATGAATATACGAATATACTAACATTCATGAATTATTCCTTGTCTGTTAATCGCTACCTCCCTCATTCACAGCCACATCTGGCTAATTCTTGTACAAATATTGTTTCATATTTTACTGGTACGTTGTGGTCGGTTTGATTGGTATATAAACTCAGTATGCTTGAAATATAATGATTCATATCTCAGAGGCTGAGACTTGTATTCTGGACTCAAGTGGCTGGGCTAGACAGAGAAGCAGGGCCAATCAGAACTCTAGACTGCTCATGCGGTTTTACGTGTCATTGATTCGATCGATAAGTCGCTGCCGTCTAATCTGCAGTCACAGTCACAACAGGTATATTAATATACACCAAGTAACTGAATACACGAGTAGAAACGAAATTTCTTTGAAAACAATAAACATCTCATGAAAAAGGTAGAAAACAAATATTTGATTGTTTCGGCTATCACGTTCTCCTTATCAGTAATGACAACCGTTATTCTCAAGATAAAAGAAATACGTTGATAAATATTTAACTTTAATTAAAAGCGTGAACTAATCGATCATGCTTATAAATTTTATGCTGAATAGTTTCTAAAGCGACATCATAGTAACTTGTTCCTTTTCGCTAAATTAACAAAAGAAGAAACAAATATCCATTTGAGTAGTTCATTTTGTCAATCACACATTGTTAAATTGATTTCTTACAAGAGAATGTCATCAGATAATTGTTAATCTGCAAATGTTGGCATTCATAAATTTCAATAAATTCCTTCTTAGGATAATTTGGATTATTTTCTACTTTGAATGAAAAGTTCTTCACAATAATCATCTTACAGATTACACAACTTAGTTTGCTGATTCCTTGTTAGTAAATAGTTCACCATGTCATGTAGTTCAATTTACAGTTAACAAAAAGATCTGATGTTGGTTGAACAACTGTTATAAACTAGAAAGCGCTATAGAGCTGCCTCATTCTAGTTTAGGACGCTTCAGTAGTGGGAATCCACGAACTCATTAAAAATTTAACCCAAGATAATCAAATCTTGTGGCGAGAGGCTGATCTTTAGATCACTGAGTCGGGATCCAATGGTTTATTTGTTCAAGAGGGATCAACTAAAGGTATTAAGCAAACAACTTATGGTAGCATGGGGTATCCGTCTAGATTTGGTCCCCAATGGGGTCGTGATAGCTCACTGCTTGAAAGTCTTAACAGGACAGCTTAACTTCCCCGTGCTTTCAAGTTTATAGTGTTTGTTTAATTAAGATTAATCCCTGATGTTAATTAGAAATTCAAAATTTTAATGAATCCATGTGTAGTAAAAGGTTAGTTTATGTTGCTATCTATTTTTTCAAAAATGAAAAAGAACGTAGAATGTAGTTTCAAACTAAAAATTTAAGTTATACAGCATGTCAAACACGTATTCATTTGCAATCCTTGAAGAAGATGGCCGAATTAATTTAGTGTGCATACAACTTATCTTCTGTGGAAGGTTTCTGTTTTTAATAATAAACACTTTTAACACTACGAGTTTATAGTAGTAGTTGTAGTATTAGTAATAGTAGTAGTTACTTAGTTACTTACATACTTACGCCTGTTACTCCTAATGGAGCATAGGCTGGCGACTAACATTCTCCAACCAACTCTGTCCAGGGCCTTCCTATCTAGTTCTATCCAATTTTTGTTCGTCTTTCTTATGTCTGTCTATATTTCTCTGGGTAGTGTGTTCTTTGGTCTTCCTCTCCTCCTTTGGCCTTGAGGATTCCATGTGAGGGCTTGTCTTGTGACGCAGTTGGGTGATTTCCTCAATGTGTGTCCTATCCACTTCCAGCGCTTCTTCCTGATTTCTTCCTCCACTGGGATCTGGTTTGTTTTTTCCCACAATTGGTTGTTGCTAATAGTGTCCGGCCAACGGATCTGAAGTATTTTGCGTAGATAACTGTTAATAAACATCTGTATCTTCTGGATGATGGCTTTCGTAGTTCTCCAGGTTTCCACCCCATACAGTAGAACTGTTTTGACATTTGTATTGGACATTCTGACCTTGGTGTTGGTTGACAGTTGTTTTGAGTTCCAGATATTCTTCAGTTGTAAATACGCTGTTCTTGCTTTGCTGATCCGTGCATTCACATCTGCATCGGATCCACCGTGTTCATCAATGATGTTGCCCAAATACGTAAAGGTTTTTACATCTTCCAAATCTTCTCCGTCAAGTGTGATTGGATTGGTGCATGCTGTGTTGTATCGGAGAATTTTGCTTTTCCCTTTGTGTATGTTGAGACTTACTGCTGCTGAGGCTGCTGCCACACTGTTCGTCTTCTCCTGCATCTGTTTTTGCGTTTGGGATAGAAGGGCCAGATCATCTGCGAAGTCTAGATCATCCAGCTGCATCTTAGATGTCCATTGTATCCCGCGCTTTTCTTCAGACGCTGACGTCTTCATGATCCAGTCGATCACCAGGAGAAAGAGAAAGGGTGAGAGTAAGCAACCTTGTCTAACACCGGTCTTCACTTTGAACGACTTTGTCAACTGTCCTCCATGCACGACTTTGCAGCGTAATCCATCATATGAGTTCTGTATGATATTGACTATCTTCTGACGCACGCCGTAGTGTCGAAGGAGTTTCCATAGTGTTGTTCTGTCCACGCTATCAAATGCCTTTTCGTAGTCAATGAAGTTGATGTAGAGTGATGAATTCCATTCAATTGATTGTTCCACAATGATCCGTAGAGTTGCGATTTGGTCTGTACATGATCTATCCTTACGGAATCCTGCCTGTCGGTCACGAAGTTGGGCGTCTACGCAGTCCTTCATTCTGTTTAACAATACCCTGTTGAAGACTTTTCCCGGTATCGAGAGAAGAGTGATGCCCCTGTAGTTATCACACTTGCTGAGATCGCCTTTTTTCGGTATTTTGATCAGGAGTCCTTCTTTCCAGTCTTTTGGTACTTGTTCCTCATCCCAAATCTTATTGAAGATAATGTGGAGCATCCTTGCAGTTGCCTCTACGTCTGCTTTCAGTGCCTCTGCTAAAATTTTGTCTGGTCTTGCTGTTTGCCACTCTTGATATGCCTGACGGCCATGCTGATTTCTACAAATGTTGGTGGGCTAACATCGATTGGGACGTCCGTGGGTGCTGCTTCGATGTTGGGTGGGTTCATTGGAGCTGGTCGATTCAACAGTTCTTTGAAGTGTTCTACCCACCTGTATTGTTGCTCTTCAATGTTGGTGATTACCTTGCCTTCCTTGCTTTTCACTGGTCGTTCTGGTTTGCGGCGATTTCCAGAGAGTTTCTTTGTCGTGTCATACAGTTGTCTCATGTTTCCTTCTCTTGCAGCCTTTTCTGCCGTTCTCGCTAAATCCTCCACATATTTACGTTTGTCATTTCTGATGCTCCTCTTCACTTGTTTGTTTACTTCTGTGTATTCAGCTTGGACTTGGCTTTCTCTGCTCTTATTCGGCTGGTATTGATTGCTGCCTTATTGTTCCTCCTTTCTTGAATCTTATCCAGTGTATCAACAATGATTCATTCTTTATGGTGGTGCTTCTTGTGACCCAGAACCTCATGACATGTTGAAGTGATTGCCTCTTTGATCCCCTTCCAGTTGCTCTCCGTAGTAGTTCCCTCTTCACTGAGTAGACCATGAAAGGCCTGGAACTTATTGCTGAGGGCTATCTTGAATTTGTTGAGTTTGTCAGTATCCAGAAGAAAAGCTGTATTGAACTTTTGTGATATTGTCCGCCCCGTTTTCCAGTACTTCTTGAGTTTCAATTTCATCTTGGCGACCAGCAAGTGATGATCTGATGCCATATCAACTCCGTTCTTGGTCTTCACTTCTTCCATTGTCCTCCCGAACCTTTTGTTGATGCAGATATGGTCGATTTGGTTTTGCGTAGTGTGACCCGGTGAAGTTCATGTGGTTTTGTGTGGGAATATAGTGCCACCTATGACTAGTTTGTTGAAGACACATAGGTTTACAAACCTCTCATCATTTTCGTCCCTTTCTCCAAGTCCATGTCGTCCCATGATGTCTTCATATCCAGTGTTGTCCATTTCAACCTTGGCATTTAAATCTCCCATCAGAATGGTCAGGTCCTTTGTTGGGCACTTCTCGACGATTGGTTGCAGCCTATTGTAGAATTGATCTTTAGCGTCTTCATTGTAGTCGTTGGTAGGCTCATAGCATTGGATGATGTTCATTGAAATGCCCTCTTTTTTGTTTTGAACGAGGCTTTGATGATCCTTGGTCCATGAGATTCCCATCCTATAAGTGCATTTTGCGCTTGTTTAGACAGCATCAATGCAACTCCTTGTGTATGTAGGGGATTTTCTTCTTCATGGCCGGAGTATAACATAAGCTCCCCTGAAGTTAGTCGTTGTTGTCCAACTTGCGTCCGATGTGTTCCACTGATCCCAAGCACATCTAGGTTGTATCTCCTCATTTCTGCAGTAATTTAGAAGACTTTTTCAGTCTCCCACATTGTACGACCACTCCATGTACCTAAATAAATGGTTGCTCTGGTTATCAGAAGGAGCATCAGCCTCATGGCTTCCGAAGGAACTCAGCTTTCACCATGAGGCGTCATAAGTCTTCTAAATGAAGACCTTTTGAGTTCCAGGACAGAGTTTAAGTGGTTTGAATAATTTTTTTCTGGCTAGTGTTTTTTAGCGAGTTAGTTTTCTACGAGATGGGGTCACTAACCCCATGCCTAACCCTCCTCTTTTATCCGGGCTTGGGACCGACAGTGGCTCCAGGGCGGCTCAAGTCGGAGTTAGTAGTATTAGTAGTAACTGATTATACAGTTAGATATTCTCATCAATTAAAATGTAAAATGTTTTCAGTTAGAAAATACTACTATTTTCATTTATATATCATTTGTATTTAATAATTATTATGAGATCTTTTTTAATGATCCGATGCAATTTAAATGAGATTACCTTAACTTTGTTATAATTACAGTGACGTGCCAACAGGTAGTTAGTTAATTTTCCTGCACAAAATGAAATTATAGGCGTGGTTATCTGTATGGTTAAAGGAAAATCTAATTATAGTGTTTGACAAAAGGTAATAAATTTGTTAGAGTGACTGATTTCGCTGATAATTCTAAGATTTTTGTTTACTTAGTGTTGATCAAATGCATTTGTATTGAAACTTGTATAATCTTAGACCATATTGAAAACTAACTTCACTATGCACAATGTT